TTTTGTTTTGCTGTTTTTGTTTTTGTAAAGCAGGTGGTTTCTCCACTTTGCCAGTTCTTGTCGTTAGTGCCCTTAACTCCACTGAATCAGCTACTCTCAAACTTCCATAGCTCAGAGACCAGAGATAGGCATGCGACGGCCAGGCGTATGGTGGCGCGAGCTCATCATTAGCTAGACATGTTCTAAGACCATGCTGCTCGAAACATAGCTGAAGACAGATATGTCGCGTGCGTACTGTACTTCCAAAGCCGGACATTCTATACTTGTTTGTACAGCTATAATCATCTATATAAAAAGTGTATTCACGCGTTGTAGGCACACCAGACATGTGGTAGGATCATTCAAGGTTGCCATCTTTACTAAACGCATGCTAGATGAACACTGTGCCAGACAAACATTGGTTTGACAGGACTGTATTTCTGTTCAAGCTAGACGGGCTATACCGGAAACACTAGACAGTTTCTGGATTGCCGCAATATTTGCGGCCCCCACGCACAGGTACTGTTGTGAGATACCATTGACTAGCGCTTTTCCACTTCGAGCTGAACACGCAGCAACTGTCCAGTGCATGGCTTGCCTCTAGTATGCCATCATCTCACGAAGGTCAAGCACGTCTATCGTTTCCAGCCCGCGTCCAGCACGTGCTCATCATATTCCTAGGCCCTTTGGCGTGTTCTTACTTTAAGTGATGCTACCGTGTTTGTTGCAAGGTGTTGTGTAGCTATTGGATTCTGTCCAAGGGGGGGGGTCTGGGATGTTTTTCGCCGGAATTGTCCAGGCCCTGCGTTTTTGGGTTTTTTGGCCAGGAGAACAACTTCGAGGTGCAGGTCCCCCATGTGGATGTGGAGGAGCGTGAGGCGCACCTCCGATGTCACCGGCCAAACATTTGCTTTTTGTTTTGTGCACAATGTCTAAAACACTGATTCTAGATAGGACCGAGTATACTACATTCCTGAGTTTCCGGACTTGTTCTACTTTTTGGGAAGAGCATTTGAGTTGGTAAACAGAAAGTTTGGACTTGTTTCGGGCCATCCACTCGGAAAGTGAGTATATATCTAGTTGTGACACTGCAGTTCTCATTTCCGTGGTGTTCGGGATCGAGGCGCATTGGGTTTTCCTATGATTGGGCACCGCAATGCCCGAAAAGCTTGGCTCCCAGCATGATGCCCGATCCAGTGGAGTCACATGGTTTGTTGGGCTCACTGGGGACTGTCACCCCCCGGCAAGCACGAAACACTGTACAGACTCCTGGCAATTGAGGTTCATTGATTCATGGAATGCGGACATGCAGCCACCTTGCCATTACAGCTCTATTGCAGCTCTACAGCGGCCCCCAACACCTCCAAGCCAATCAACGCTGGTTTCCCCTACTGTGCACCTAGGGCGCGACACACCGCAGAGTTGTTGCGAAAGCTTGTGCATTTGGTTTATTTGTCCAGGCCCCCTTGGGTCACACTCAGCAAACAAGCAAAGAACACCTACCCTTCCTCCAACTAACATGGCACCCCTGGGGAGGTACCTGGAAGATTAATTTCCTTTTGTGGGACCCTCTCAGTTGCCATGGGAGGGAGGGTACTTCCTTTTCCGACTCGCCAGGACCGGAGCCGAACACCGTCCAAGAACACCCCAGACTTCAAGGAGCTCTTGGAGCAACTGGCGGCCCAGCACGAGCGGGAGCTGCAGATCTGGCCTGGGCCTTGTGCCGCTTGCATCTCCGGGTTGGATCCAAAGTTCGCAAAGTTGCGGCCTCTTTAGGGGACCTCACGAATGCATTTTCGCAGTTTGTTTGGTTGGGAAACCATTTGAGTGGCAAAGAGTTGGGAATTGTTGGCCACTCAGGAAGTGAGTAGATGTTATTTTCACTACCCCGTGCAAACCACCGAGACCCAGAGGAAAGCCGGAGTAGTTATCTATAAGTATGACATAAACAAGTGGGTACATGGTGGTTGTTATCCCACTAATACCCTAGGTAATTGCAACGGCTTGGTGTAGTGGAAACCATGTCAGGCTCTTTGGAGGACCTGACAGTTCCTGAAAGCAGTCAACTCAGTTCCCGGCCTTTGCCACACGGTGCAAGGGACTCTCCTTTAGCTGGAACAGAGTGTTTCAGGTCAGTCGTTGCCGTTGGGCCGTTGGTTGCCCACAGGCCAACAGTTCACGCCCTGTCCGAGCAAGTCGGTCTGTAGAAGATGACCAAAGTTGATACCCACAAAAGAAAATAATCAAACCTTCCCACATACGTTGTTTCACAACGCCTCAAATCTGAGAACCACCTTGTGACGACACCCGGCAAGAAGCTAACAGGCCGCTCATTGGCGTGCACAGTTCAAAACACTTGAATCAAGCATATTGTCAAAAGCTGAGGTAGTGTGGGGCTACCATAGTGGATCCCCACCTTCGAACCCAGCACCAAACGGAAACACTCACGTCCGTAGGCAGGAGCGAGTGGAGAAGCTGCAGGACCAAGCCGAAAGAAGGCACATGAGGCCCGGACGGACGCTGAGAGAGCTTGTCAAAACCCACCGGCCCTCGCGCTGACTCGGATCTCGTCTTTCGGGATCCTGCTTTTAAATCCTTTTGGGAGATGGCAGTGATTGGGGATCCCCCATTTTGAATTCTTGTTTTTGGCCCAGCCATGTGTGCGGGTAACCTGGCAATCCACCCCCCTGGCGTGATTGATGAAATGTTGTTTGATTCTGTCAAAAGACCTTTAAGAGGTTGTTAGAGTGGTACCAGTGCCCCTCGCCATCCAACAGAGGCGATTGACTGATATCATGGCTTGGACTGGACACCCGCAACGTATCCCTGCAAATGCTTGAGCCTGGCTCCCAGCATTTGTTTTGTAGCCACCATGTTGATGCTACATGCTCGTAGGGTCTTGCAGGGGGGGTTTGTGGTATGGTTTGGGAATCCATGAAGGACTTCAGGTTTTCCAGATTCGCGCCTCTTCAGTGGTGATTGGAGTTGTGTTTGCTCCTTCCGGCCTCAGCGCCTTAATGAGTTGCAGTGATGAAGGTGAGGAGGGCAAAGGGTGGCCAGCTCACCACTGAAATCGCCCACTTCTGGTGTTTGGCGTTTACTTCAGGAAGCTGACGTTCTGTGATGCTAGGAGTACTTCACCCATGCAACTAGAGGCGCCTTCAAAAAGAAGCGGTGCACTGCGGCCAGGCACACGCGCATGAACATGGATGACCGTAGGCGGGATGGATTGAACTGCGATCATGCGAAAGACAGGTTGCCGACACGTGTTTGTTTCGCAAATCTGTAATTTGCTTGGGAGCTGGTGTTGGTGGGTTCGGCAGCTTAGTTTGGCAATTTGGTGCGCATAGGGGTGTAAGCGGTTGCGCCGGGAGGTTGACGGACTCATTAGTTTTCCACCAGCTGCATAATTGCCTGCAGCTTTGTTTGGCGGTATCGTTGCTGACCCGCGAATTGTACAGCACAGCCCTCGAAAGCCGAACAACGAAGGAATGCTGACGACCCAACAAACGTTCTTGGACGAACAGTTTGTGGTTGATTTGCGTATGTATACATTTCTCGAAGATCAGGTATTTGTTTCCGCTGTCTTGGTCTATGGCGCTTTGCAACTTCGCAATTGTGTTTATGCGTGCGTGTCCGAGTCCGCCTCCTTGTCCTTGTCCACATGCGTCTCTGCGTGTCTTTGAGCGTCTGTGTGTGTGTCTCTCTGTATATGTGTGTGTGTTTGCGTGTTTGCGTCGGTATCTGCGGTTGTCTGCGTCTGATTGTATGTCTCCATGTGTGTGCATGTGCTGTCTATTTATGTATGTGTAGGAATAGATGGTGGCTTACCCCCCAATTGGTGGTTTGGGTTGGTGATTTGGGAACTTGAACCCGTGGTTCTTGTTGAGGGCCTCCACCAAACCTCCAAGCCACCAATCCAAACCCTCAATTAGAGGCAAGCTGATGCACGGCTGGGTAGTGGGTGTACGTTTTTGTCTTCGTTTCTAGCTCAGCTCGATCCAGCAGTCAACTCGCAGCCTGAATCAGCAAAAGGCACGACCATGCAAGACAGCAAGGAACATGCTTGTTACGTGTCCTACCAGCATCTCATGCATGAGTGTGATCAAGAGTTCAACAGCGATCAAGACTTCAACAGCTCTGTGTCGCTGAGGTTGAGGTCAACCATCGACTTTGATGAAGAGAGAGGGAGGTGCGATATGCTATGCACGGCCGCGATGAGTTGGCGCTTCGCGTGAAGCACACTGCCCGCAGGTCAAGCGAAGAGGAGCTGGTTCCATTGGAGAGGACGGGGTCGAGAAGGGCTAACCCAGTGTTGTGTCGTCACCCTCAGGAAGGCTGGGTCCATTAAGCCTGTAATTTTGAGCGCGGAAAGAAGGCCTTGGGGTTGTTGTGCAGGCGATTGCTATTGCCAGACCATTTGCAAAGCTCGGGTCCAGTGATAAGCTATGGGCTTCGAAATCAAGACTCATGCCAATTTCTCGAGAGGCAACAAGCTGGAAGCGCAAACACGGAGGCTAATCACTATCGATTATTTAGTGCACGAAGGGCCCATATGGCATTGTAAACCCAGGTTCCAGTACTCATGTGTAGTTTTAGGGATCACGAACGTCAGAAAACCGCTCAGCTCGAAGTTGAATTCAGGTAACTACTGTGTTTGGCTGCTGTTTTGCTTTAAAAACCCTGGCCGCTTTCCGGAAGTGATGCTTGATTTTTCCAATCTGAGCTGCCAGGCCTGATGCTGATACGGCCTTGAGTTCAGCAGCAGCGGAGCCATGGAAGAGGCGGGGGCCTAAATGAGACCAACATCCGAACTCCGGATGGGCCCCCGAAAGCGTTGCTGAAGGCTTCTATTGAGCCCCGTCACCTCAAAGCCAGCTTTCAACCTATGACATGTGGAGAGCGCATTCCTGGTCGCAAAAAGCAGCTGTGAACAAAGCTGGTGAACTGCCACCAGCTTTCCTTTGTGTTTGACTGGGTTCGCATAAATATTTTGCATTCAACGACCAACTTGGGGTTTCTTTCCCACCACCACGCAGCTAGGGAAAAGTGTGAGAAGATGTGAGAAGTAAGCCTCGAGCATAGGAAGACGCAAAGAGTTTTGATGACATTCCACAGCGTCCTTGTCATTATCCATGCTTGCAGTACGGAGTCTCAGATGATGCCTTTTTGACATGCTGCCCAACAGGGCCCCATTTTGAGCGGTTGCGATTGGCCTTTGCATGCAATCTGCTAGAAAATCCTTTGCCAGATGGGAGCGGCTTGCGGCCATATATAAATACTAGAATCGTATTGTCGGCGAAAGAACCACTTTAGCGTGCTTGCAGCTATAGGATCTGTATAATGTCCATATTATAGAAAACCACACTGTATACAAACGTTATATCTTGTAAGTTGTCAAATTGATATATTTCATCCTATTGGATCTAAATATTATAATTTTGAGATGATATTGGAATGAACATCGGTCATCCTTGCTTAGCCAGTTCGAGGTATCACTTTGTTGTGCTGCATGCAGCTCCCCGAGGTTTTCCTCACCATCTCCTCATACTCGGTCGAGGCAGTGAGGGTTGGTGCGTGAATGTGAAACGAGGTGTTGTAATTGATCCAGCGGGCATCAGCTTTGCACGCAACAGCCAATAGGCCAAGCGAGTGTCAACAGCGCAGTTCATAGGACAAAGTCTCCTAGGCAACCAACTGTGTACTCATTACTCTAACTCTAGAATAAGCCACTTCAAACACATGTTCAAGCATTGTGTGTATACATCAAGTATTCGCTGACAGTGGAGGAATTGTTCAACAGCATGATTGGCACATCAAGGACCACTACATGGCTGCTGAAAAGTCTCATAGAAAACCGGATGCGACCACAGACTCATGCAGGACAGATACCTCGGCCTGCTTCTGGGCTGAGCAGCGGTCGCGTGTTTGGTCGACTTGCAGCCGGTGTTCTTGCTGCCAGGAGGTACAACTGGAATACACACACGGAATGCGAACTTGTTTGGACAAGGTGTTTGTGCAAGGGGCGAGCGAGGAGATCCACAAAGGGGTCAACAGGAATTAAGATGCAATAAGCACAGCTTGGTGGCTAGTTTTGGGAATGCTATTGTGCAGGAGTGCAACCTCTGACTGCTTGGGCTACAGGCTAGCGAAGGCCCAACGAGCCAAACGGGAAACGCATACTAAACTTGCGGAGGCCCAAGCAGAAGGCCCAACCGACCCGCGTACTTTCGCCATCTTTCGCCCACCAGCCGATGCTCAAGAAGAGAAATGATTGGTCCCTCACTGCAACAAGGGCTCCGGGCCCTTTCGATTTTTATTTTTACTTTTAATTGTCTGAACTTATCTACAGGGAGGGTGGGGGGGCCTTGGGTTTCCTCCTGCTTAGTCGAGAGGGGGGCAACACCCGGCTGCTGAATCTCCGAGGCGCAGAGGACGACACACTGAGGCGGAGCTTTCGGACCCGGGAGATATGGATGCGACATACTTTCAGCCACTTTCCTAAAGAGGGCGGTGGTGGTTGGTTGGTCGGTGGGTGGGGGGTGGGGGGTGGCGGGTGGATGGGTGGGTGAGAGGGTGGGTGGGAGGGTGAGAGGGTGGGTGGGAGGGTGAGAGGGTGGCAGCTTTGAACCTGCCTGCAGTCTTGAAAGCCAATCCTTAAGGTGGATGGCAGTGGTTTACCACTGCGGGTTACCCAGACTTGTAACTGCTGCCGCTTCTTGTCAGCGTTTGTGTACCAGTTGGGAGTTGAAATTGGGTATTGTTTTTTGCGGGCAGATGTTGGCGGCGACTTTTTCGTTTTTTGCACGGACTGCGTCCCATAGGGCGGTAACCTCGCCACACACAAGTGCCGGTGACTTCAACGGTTGCGTGTAGGGATCAGGGATCCCCTCCGTTTTAGTTCAGCCAGTTTGTAAAGCGACGCTCGCGGCTGACATCCCGATTGCTTTGAACTTCCTAGTGAATAGTTTGGGGGTTAGGCTTTGGGTTGCCCATCCACTTGGGTGAATCTTCCTGGGCTGTTTGGGTTGGCCGCCTGCTGGAAATGATCCTCCAATGTCGTCCCTTGTCAAGCATTCTACGAAACACCCCGCAAGTGGACTTCAGAAATAAAACAGCAGAGAGCGTTTTGTCGTTACTCGTGAGCACTTGTGAGGACGCTGGCTTTTGCAAGCCTCAGATTAGGGCGAAATACAACTTTGCCCCACAATGAGTTCACCTCAGGGTTTTCCCCGGTTCAGTGGATCTTTTCTCGGCTTGATCATGCTTGACAGTTTGGTTGGGTCAGCACCTGGTGCGCGTGAAGCCGAGGCAAGGGTGGCGCACCGTCGTTGCTGAGATCAAACTCGATGTCTCAGTTGGAGAGCGCCTGTTTGGCAAGGCATGCTGAGATGCTCCAAAGGGGGCCTTAAAGATTTGACGCGGAGCCAGTTGGCTTTTCAAACGGGGCAAGATTGCCTGGCGGGTTTTGTGCAGATATGCGTGCAGCTCAGAGTCTGATTGCAAGGTGGGATGAGAATTGTGTTATGTTGCTTGCCGTTGATACAATTTGCGTCGGTAGGATATGCATGTCATTGTCTTGACTGGGGCAGACTTATCAAGAAGATAGGCGCAACCCTTGAATAGACATTTTTATTTTGTTTTAAAGGAGCCTGCGATTGATGAAGTACGGTAATTGCATGGACTACCCTGGGTCATGCGCCCAGGAAAGTCCAACGCGATGCCTGACGAGATACCAGAAAATGGCACGCAGCCGCCTCAGTCGGAGGGTGAAGCTGGGCAAAGTGCACTTAGGGAAACCGAAATGAGGTTGTTCGAATAAGCATGTGGGCTTGTATGGTTGCAGAGTCCTCTTTTGGCTTGGTTTCCCAAAGGAGGCCAAGAGCGAAGAAGAGTCCATTCTAGGGCCCCCCAAGTTTGACACATGTGACACATGGATCCCAGTCCGATACGCCCTTCCATTTGGTCCGAGCGTTCCTTTTTGAATTAACAAACCACTGTAACTTGTTGCCCATTACTTGGGAACCCTCATGCCATCATGCCAGGCAATACACGCAAATGGGCGCAATTCAATTGAGCCTTCCCCGGTAGTATGTTTGTGCAAGTCAAGTGGTGCAGCTAGCATGAGCCAAATTGCAATAGCTGCTGCGCACGTTGCCTCTGACCCTACTGTGGGAAGCAAGTTTGTCCAGTAGAGACTATAGCCCTTTGGACTAGCCATTCTGAGCCTGCGCTTGCAGCTTGTGGCGAGGGCGCAGAACTTCATGCGCCACATCATTGGGAACCCCACCAGCCCCAACCGGATGATTTGGGACGCCGTCGGGGGCGTCACAATCCTATACGCAGCTTTGAAGCAATGTGCAGTCGCGCTTGGATACATGCCCGCTGCCAGACATGGCCTGGCTCCCTTCAAATTGAGGCCAGGTTTCGAATGGGAGAGCTCAGGACATTGTGACTTTGCCACTGATGGTTTTCAACCTGGAGGGTCCATTCATGGACACGCTGGGGCTGATTATTTTGGTGCAGCTCGGCTTGCAGCCACAGTTTTTCAGCCTTGCTTTCCGAAGTCTGCCACATGAGAGAAGCCCCAGGGCCTAGAATGGCAGACTAGAGGAATGAAACAACAGCGTAGACCGTGTCAGACAACCGGCCAGCGAGTCAGACACCGATGAAACTACCGCAGGTGTCTGGCCGAGGGAAGAAAATTCTTGTGTTTTGTCGAACATGGCTCGGTGGCGACTTGTTGAATACTTGTTTGCCATCGACCCAGGTACTGGACTCTGAATGTTGTCAATCAGTGGCTTGGCGCCGGACGCATTTCCTCAGCTGTGGGATTGAAGTCGGGCTTTCCCTGCTTTCCGAAGAGTTTGTCAGGGAGTTACAAGCAAAAAACAAGCCATGAGAAATGCGGGGGATGATTGACTCTTGTCAAGGGCAGATGCTTGGACGTGTTGTTGCTGGGGGTGAGGGCATAGTGCAGCCATGAACGCTCCGTGAACGGCCCCATGTCAGGGTATGAACCAGTTCTTGCAAGTGCGGTGGCTAAGGGCCAGCAAGCAATCACATCCGTGAATAGTGTCGTTTAGGCCTTGCCTTGCTGCCATTGGTTTGAGGATTCTTCAAGCTAAGCCTTTTGTGTGGGAATGTTGGTGAGTTGCGGGAATACGCCTTTGGACACCTGATTTGTTCAAGTTTGTGTGTGATGATTGAGGGTTTGTGGGCTTCTCACTGTCCCAAAGCCGACCTTTGGATCTTTCAGTTTTCCCTTTTGTTCATTTTTGGTCACGGCTCCAAAAGGTTGACCGTTTATTTCCGGGTCCTGTGGGGCAACTGAAGGTTGGTTGAAAGAGAACCAAAATGAAAACTTTGTTAGGGAGCCAAATCCTGATCTTGATACCCCCACATGCGTCCACATCCGCAAGTGAGTGAACCTGCCCGGTCAGAGGGTTGCAACGGCGGCATCTTGAGGCTGACCTGTGGGTATTTGCGCAATGGCGTGGCCGTCATGAGCTGCTCAGCTCTCATTTCGTCTCTTTTGGCCATGGGAACGGGCAGAGAGATGTGAGAATGCCGAGAGAGAGAGAGAGAGAGACCAATTCAATCGATTCACGGCCCCGAAACATTTGGGAAGGTGACGACGTCAAACATGGAGATCCCTCCAGTTGGTTGGCTTTATGCACGTTGCCAGAAAAGACCCTTCAAGAGAGTCATGGTTTTCATAGCGACTGGAAGCTATATACCTTACCTTACCTCGGCTGCCCCCAGGTTCGTCACTTTGCCTTACGCATGGGTCCCATTGCAGTTTCGTGTGCTTGTTGGGAAACCTGCTGCCCGGTCCCCGAAGATGAACAGGCATGGCCATCAACCCTTTAGACTTTCAGAGTTGACATGACCCGCATCTTGTTTTGGCCAAGCACTGCTTCGCCCAGGCCCTCGGCAGATCGTCTACAGGTACATGACAAGAACTGTCTTTGTGGACCTTGTCACACTAGCACCGGATTGGACGGTGACGCAGCTTGGACCTGCAGACGTGCTCGGCTTCTGGATGAGTTGGGAATGTTGAGACGGAGGCGAACAGCAAAACACAATGTGTCACGTTCCAATTCCAAGCAAGCCGTGATTCCCATTTCGTTTAGAGGTTCTTGAGAAAACGTGACTTCTGGCGCCACTGTCTTTGGGTTCCAAGTCTCAGGATCATGCAGCTGAGCAGCACCAGCCAGAACTTCCAAGAAGCTCGGCTGTTGCTCCTTGGCATGGGCTGGGAGCTCGATTGGCCCACTCCTTGCCGCGGCTTCTCAATGTTTCTCATGCATTTGGTCCACCATATGCTTCTGACCAAGGCCCTTGTTGGGGGTGAAGTCCGTGCTTTCTTGCAAGCTGGATGTGTGGACATGATATGTGGCGAAACACCGAGATGTGTCCTGTGCATCGCCGATCACATTTCCAGTACATTAGGATGTACATTTGACAGCCCCGAAGATTGGAAAGCACACCCGCTGCATGGTAGCGGAGCTGGAACCACATGACCCTGCCGGCTGGTGCGCATACGACCCTCCGGGATGGCCCGGCAAGACCCTCAGGGGCGCAATCACCCAAGACGTCGGAGCACATCGCAACGGGCACGGGCCCGGAAGATGCAAAGGTGCACGCGTGGGCCTTCTTCAAATCCTCATGCAGTCCGTGGAAGAGCTGGCGAGCCGAATGCAAACAAACGCCAACATGCTGCCCGAGCAGGACTTCCCTGAGCACTTGGAACAATGGCTGCTCGTGGGACGATATCAGGGCATCTCTGCATCGGTGAGGTGGGCCGTGGAAGTATGCACCAGCTGGAATTCGGATGGCATTGAGGACAAGCCCATCAGCCATAGAAACCGGATAAGACAAGCTCAAGAAGTGTGTCGAGACTGCCTTCGATGCGAAGGACCCTCTGGCCCTGTGCCCATGTGTGTAGACGCGTTGGAAGCCTGGAGCAAAGGCAAGGACAAGAACAAGTCCCAGCACAAGGGCGGCAAGTCCAAGGACAGTTCGGCAAGAAGGACAAGGTACAGAATGCCACAAGCAAGCGGTTTGATGGGGAATGCTCCCACGGCGGAAAGTGGGGCCACAAGAAACAGATTACCAGAAGAAAGGCTTTGAAAGGCACGGGTGGTTCAACTACTGGCGCGGTGGAAAGTGGAGCTAGCAGCAGAGCGGCGTTGAGGAAGAGGAGCAGGTCAATTGGTCAAAGATCTGGGTCAACACCAAGGCCACCAAGGGGAAGTGCGACCAAGTGCCAGCACGTCGTGTATGATCCTGGGTCAGATGAGCTTGTGAAGCTGAGCGCGGTCGGCAACACCCATGGGTGGTTTGATGCGCCGGTTTCTTTCGATGCCGGTGTGGCAAGATCACGGGCGTTCTCAAAGATTGGCAGAAAGAAGAATGCTGGAGCCGAAGCCAGCCACAGCAGGGCTTGCTCCTGAGAGAGGAGCCTGAAGATCGCCCGCCAACAAAGGTTGTGACGAATGATGCGGATGTGCCTATCATCTACGGCATGGCACAGATGGCTAGCAAGGTGACGCGGGTGAGCACGCAACAGCCCTAATGGGGCAAGGCCGTGTTGATTTACCTGGGGCCTGCGGTTACATCAAAGAAAAGGCTGGCAGAAGCCTCATGAAGTCTGGCCGGCGCAAATGCAAGTGGAGGGATTTGACCCCAAATCATTGGCGAGTGGGTGCGAGATAAGACAGCCCCTTTGAGGTGCTCGGAAAAGAGCACCCGCTGCATCTTGCCCTTTTGCAGGCATAGGCGAACTGCTCGGGGATTTTGAGTGCGTGCTGTTCACGACAGCTTGCACGAAGTCCAGGAATCAGCCTTGAGGCTTTGGGCCAATCCGTTGGACCTTTCCAAGGGTGTCAAGTTCAGCTTCGGCTCCATTTTGGATGATGTTTGAAGGGGAGGGCCAAAGGACAATACTTGGGAGGTTTTTTTTGGTTTGTTGCCAGGGAGTGTTGCATGTTGCAAGGCACAGGCCTCACTCGCAAGAAGCAGACATTTACACACGGCCCTGTTTCCAACCCCAATATCATTTTTGGCTTGCATCCATTGCAGCGTTTGCCTTATGGGCCCCAAGGCCAAAAAGCTTTGGCAGGGGTGGGGGGGAGGCAGAGAAAAAAGGTGTCTAGCAAAGTTGTTGCGCAGATCGGCCCTTGGCCGGAGTTCCCACCTCTCAACCGTAGGCGCGCCCTGCGGGCCTTCCGGCTCACCAGCGCCTTGGCCCACATGTTGCGTTGTGTTGGGTGGCGGTGGGCTCAGTATGCCCAATTGATTGGTATCACCAATGGTTGCTCACATGTGCCAGCATTTTTTTGCAAGTTTGGAAGCGGTACCCGATGCTTGGCATGGGGGCTTGACTGGGCGGGCACGTCTCCTGAAGCCAAAAGCGAGTGGCTGGGAGGATAGCTGAATCAAGGCAGACGGCCGGCAATTTTTTTTGCCTTGGTTTCAGGGAATGTCTCCGTGGCGCGCGCTTTCTACGCGGCCTTGATGTTGCAAGCATTGATGGCCCTCCAACTTGTTGTTTGTTTCTTCCTGCTGGCTTCTCATGGTCACCATCGCATATGTTTGACATCTACTGACTCTGGCTGCGCTTTGTCCCATAGCCAGTGGCTCGCCGGTTCGCAGGACTGGTGCGAATCGTCAAGCTGCGGTGGCTCATGGAGGTTGTCAGGGAGTCTCAGCCGCAAAGGCGGAGGGCTGCTTTGGGCATTGGAAGCAATGGCATTTTTGGCACGACGCCAGCCACAAGAAGATTGCACCAAACACCGATCAGACATCGCGTGCAGCTATGTGCAGATTGTCCTACGATCCTGAATTGGCGCGGCGTCATGCGACTCCTAGTAGAGTAGCAGATCTAGGTAGTCGGGTTTCATTTTCGTTCTTCCGATGCCACCCCGGACAGCATGGTGCGGGCTGGTGAGTGGACCCACCATGGCACCCGCATTTGACTGCATCCTGGTGCCCGGTGCTCACTCAATTTCACCCTTCTCCACCCAGCTCAGTCCACCCTCATTCCCGTGTGCTCCGCGCGCGAAAAATAGCTTTTGGGGCTTCCGATTGGCCCGAGGCCTCGCTTTTGCGGCTGGTTCGGCGCTGACAAACCATTTTTTGGGGGAAATGCAAAGAATGGCCATCCCTTTTGGATGCAACGGCAGATAGAGAGAGAGAAAGAGAGAGCTCCAAATCTGGAGATCTGGCCTTTCGGGTTGAGCTTGCAACAAAAACTTGTTTTCATGACATGACCAAGCAGAGCGTTGCCTTTGAGTGGGCGTCATTTTAAAACCCATGCATCCTGTTTAGTATTCCGAATTTCTAGCCTTAAATGGCATGAGCTTCCCGCTGTGTGCGCGGAAGAGACGCGGAAGGGCGGAAGAGATGCGGAAGGGCCAGCAACCGAAAACATTGATCGAAAACCATGCAGTGATAACTTGTGTGTAGATTCACAAGGCGCGCGGAAGGTTTGCGGAAGGGCGGCGGAAGGGCAGTTTTCAGGAGAAGTAATTTTGCACAACCCCCAGTTGGTGTCCCACCGGATGTTTGCTCTTGGCCCATGTTGAGCTTCTTTTTGGTTGCTCTTTGGGTCAAATCTGCACTTCGGGGTGATGTTTGAAACTGAAGATAGGGGGAACTGAACGAAAGAGGAAATCTGAGCCGGTCTTGGTCCATTGCTTTTGAGTGGAGCTCTTCTTTGGGATGCCTGGTTGCATAGCGCAAGCTGCTTTTTGTCCGCCTCGATCCGCTTTGTTGTCCGCACGGAACCAGCGCCATGGCAAGCAAATGCACATATTTGCCGCGTTGGTTTTGCAAGAGCCCTGTACTTGCACCGGTTCGGCCTTTGGCAAGGGCTCCTGTGACAAATTATACAACTTATTGCACAATTGACAACTGAATTTTCGTGGGGGTTGAGAGAAGGGCTGGCTATTTTCGAATACCTGCATAAACTTTGTTTGCCGTATTTCAGCGCCTTGACCCGACAAACATGACGTTTGCAAGCATCCATGTGGGCTTGGCTATGCACAGAAGCCCAACCGCACCGCTTTGCGGGCTGCTTTGAGGATTACCTCGACTCAGAGTATGCCAGCATCATGTGACTTGCCTTCCAATCAGCATTCCTCACTGCGCTGTACGCAGTACTCACTCGTGCTCTCGCAGTACTTACAGTCATGCCCCTGGAGTTTGCAACCAGGTTTGAGATCTCCAAGATGATGTGCTTGCTGCTGGTCATCAACCATGTCCTTGCTCCTTGCATGCAGCCAGACCATGGCTCCTTTTTTTGCCGAACAGCAGGCTGACCGCCATTGTGATCTCCAGCCGTTATGACACTTCCAAGGGACACTCTGTTGGATGAGACACGGGGCAGGCGAAATCTGTTTCTGACTCAACTGGAAACACCTGAAAAGCACTCATTTCTAGAGGAAGGTGTTGGAAAACCCCCTTCCATGTCTTCCCTTCGCTTCCATCGAGCTAGGCCTGTGCATGGTTTGCCCTGTCGCTGGTCAGCATCGAACTGGGTTGGACCTCCTGGAGCTCCACCAACGTTTTGGACTACAACGACACCTGGCGCCTCGGTTCGCAAGCAAAACCCAGCAGGCGGTTGTAGGGTAGGCTCCCTGGTCGGCCTGTGTGAAAGTCCGGGGTGGTGGGACTATTCTGTTTTTTAGAGTATATATTTATATATATGGTCCCGTGTTCCGTGTTGCTACCCCCCCCCCCCCAATATGGTATGGTCTGCCAGGACCCCCCGGCCCGAGACCCCGAGCCCCCGGATCCTGGCACCTACGGTCCCACCCCCACCCCGACCCCCTGAACTCGCACCCCGACACCCCGGCACCCCCACCCCCAGGACAAGCCAACCCGCAACCAACCATAAACCAACCCTAAACTAACCCTAAACCAACCCAAAATACACCCTAAACCAAACCCTAAACCGTAGACCTCTAAACCTAAACCAACCCTAAATCAACATACCCTAAACCAACCCTAAACTAACCCCAAATACACCCTAAACCAATCCCTAAACAATAAACCCTAAACCTAAACCAACCCTAAACTAACCCTAAACCAACCCTAAATACACCCTAAACCAAACCCTAAACCGACCGTACACCTCTGAACCTAAACCAACCCTAAACCAACCCTAAATCAACATAAATCAACCTAAATCAACCCTGAACCAACCCTAAACTAACCCAAAATACACCCTAAATATACCCTAAACCAATTCTAAACCAACCCTAAACCACCACAACCCAACCGCAGGACCACGACCACGGGGGGGGGGTACTTGCCTGACCCATGACCATTGGCGGGAGGGGGGGGGGGGCTGGCAACGCTGTACCATATATATGTATTATTCTTGGTCCCGACTGCGGAAGGGACCTGTAGACATTTGTGGACTGGAGCTGTAGCTCAGTGATTTGGTTCAAGGCCGCGGCGTTTCAGCCCAGAAGCAAGGCTTGGACTGCGCTGCACAAGAGCTAGGGTGATGAATGGACATTGATTTACCTTCGATTTGACAAGGCCATAGATATCCGACCCAGACTGGGTCTGTCCGAACTTTAGGTGGCTGTACGACTACCTCACGTGTTTGCACTGGAGCTTGTGCCAGTTCACTCCAGCGTCCATGGAGGTCCAGCTGCTCGGCATAAGGAGGTCCATGGATGGCTTTGATTGTGGGCGCTGCAAGTGAGTCACATCCAGCTAGGCTTGCGGTGTGTGCGGGTTTTGCGACATTTGTCAAGCCTGCAGTGCTCCCCTTGTAAGCAATTCTCGGTGCTGACTTTGATTTGCTTGGCCACGAATTCAGTACTTCAGGCCTGCGAATCCGGCGGAGCGAGGCTTCGCGACCCTGACGGTCCTTTTCGCGCTGATCGCTACATGGCTGGACCTCGCTGAAGGTTTTGGGAGCTGCCTTGTTTTCTGGGGTAGGGTGCGGAAGCCAACCACTCTCACCGCCCATCCATGGAAAGGTGATCCTGTTTGGAGTTTAACAGGGTTTTGAATCATTCTCACAAGAAGGGAAAAAGCTGGCTTCTGTGATTTGATTCCATGTTGGTTTCGGGTGATTCGAGCAAAGGTGTTCTCTTACATTGCCGCCCGGCTGCAAGCGGCGGTGCAAATGGAGGGTTTTGCATATTCCTTGGCGCGGGGAGCTTTTGTGTTTACTTGCTTGTGCAAGGTGGGTAGTATCACCGGCTCCTTGACGCAGCTTCGAATGATGCGCCTCGCTTTGCAAGTGGCCATGGACTTTGGACTTCTTTGCGCCGCGATTGTACAGCATGGCCTGTGTGCGGAAGATTGGAAGAGATGGCCAGTGTGGTTGGCCTTGTTTTTGAACCATGGGATGGGGACTGACAAGCTATGACTTCGGGGTTACATGAAGTCCTGCTTGTGACAATGAGTGTGACAACACTGAACGGCATTGGCAAAGCATGGCGGGACAGCTGTGTTTGTCATTCAGTGGCTTTCGCACGTGGATTGCAATGGGGGTAGCCACCCATATTCTGAGCCAAAAGTCGTTCATCAATAAGAAATCAATTGCCCGAATCGATGGCTGACACATGCGAGCTGCCAATGCCTAATCGATTTTGCGATGCAGCATCCCAGCCATTCCGACCTAGCCAATTCGGTCAACACCAAACCGTACGCACCAAGGTATCGTCAAAAGAAATTAAAGCAGCATACATTTGACCACTATATACCCCAGGGTCAACACAACAATGGCACAGGGTGATGCCCCGTGCTATTGCGGTAGGTTTTGCGAATTCGCCATTACTTTTTTGTCAGCAAACACCTGCAGAAGGTCTCCATGGCTTGCAGCCACCATGGGGTCTTGCCAGTCACTGCCCCTCCCCTCCCGGCCGCCAGTTCTCGCGCGCAGCCATGGGCCAATGGCGAGCTGAGGTCTGAGACCATCACCCGAGAGACGCTAAAGCTTCGGCGCTTCTTGCGTCGCAACGCGGTGCCTATCGGGCTGCCACGGCCCTGGCGAGTGTTCGATCTTTGTTTTGCTCTTCAACGATGCAGGCACAGATCGTTGTTGAAGGATCCTGGGTTTGACAGCTGTCATGGTCAGTGTAAAATGGCACTTCCCTGGGATATGTCGATACATATGTTTTAAGTGTTTCCGGTCACCCGTTGGGGAGTTGGGGCACTGCGTGGCTTGAAGCAAGCCGCCCCATCACACCTTTTCTCGAGACATTGGCGTGGCGGGCTCAAGGCCAACCCTTCTGACAACCCTTTCTTTCTGACAAGCCTTTCGGAACATCTTGTAGAACCAGACCTCGATCCTTCAGTGCAACTCATTTGGAACTCACAAGACACAGCAAACACGCAGGTTCAGCCACATCGCTTCCTGTAGCTGGTAGCCATAAACGGCCAAATTTGTTCTTGCGTAAGGGCCCCAGCCCCATACAATTTCCTTCAATCCCCGCAGTCCCACGAGCTTAACGCGAGGGTCGGTGTCGCTGTGCGCGTGGACGTGGCAGTTGGGCTGGAGGTCGCTGCGCATCCGCCGCTTCGTGGAGTTTGAGTTGAAGCACCGGCAGCTGCTGGGGCCCTGGGGCCCTGGGCGAGCTTGGTGAGGGCGACCGGCCATGGTGCCCAAGGTTTCAAGAAAGACGGGCTGGGGAAGGGAAAGGGCAGGAAGCAAACTGAAGTGAGGCGGACTGAGACGAAATGTCGGAGCTTGCGAAAGGCTTGTGAAAGATCATTGACGCAGTGGGGGCCGCATGGTGACCCATTTGCTTGCAGTGGCCTTTGGGCCCTCTCAGGCCAGTCAACCAACAGAGCGTGGGCTGCCTAAACGCGGGGTCCTTAATTCGCCGCCTCCCGATTTGTGTTCTCCCTCGCCTCATTTGCTAGGAGGATCTATGCGGCCTGTTGTGGGCCGACTCGCGATGCCGAGGTTTTGTCTGATCAGCTGCAGTCTGAGCTTGGCCCGGCTCCCGGTCTTCGTGGCAAAGTCCCAGGTGTGGAACTAGGTGGAACTCAACAGTTTGCCGATCTGACCTGCTGTTCTCCTTTGAGGACATGTTGTGACTGTACACCTTTGGCGTTCCAGATGTGGATAACGCAACCCAAACCCACCGCAGGTTCCCTCACAAGTAGCCAGAGATATGTGGGGCCCACACTGAGCCCAGGCTTTGCGTTGGTGCAGCCCACGATGCTGAGCTGCATTGGAGCTTGCTGGCAGCCGCCCTTGAACTAGCGGGACTACCTTCAACTGGCGTTTTTTCGGCTGGTTTTGTTTGCAGAATGATCCGACATGCAAATTGGGCTTCCAGCAACCGACACAACTTCCTGTGTCGCTGCAAGGCTGACATCTCATCCACTCTTCGACGTCCTCATGAAATCAAACGGCGGCTGCGCGCTGCTTGAAAGAGCCAGCCAGGCTGGATGCTCGCGAGGCACTAACCAGCGGCTTATTTGGCAAATAACGGCAGTTATTGCGATCCCTTATTTCAACTTGGTGCATTGTTATAAGTCACCCTAATCGATGAAATATGAAGAGACTGGGCTGAAAAGTGTTTGTACAACAAGGTGGAAATGTTTGGTTGACAAGGCCGCTTCTCGGACGGAAAAGTGTTTGCAGCAAAGCTACCCAAGGAGAAGTAGACAACTAGCGTGAAAGCCTAGGGGGTAGTGGCCACTAGGTATTGCTGACATGCCGTTAGCACTGCTTGCTGTTGCAAGAAGGGGCAACCCCCACTACCGCTTGGAGTTGTCTTCCATCGGCGCGTCAGTCATTCAAATCTTAGAAGCTCATGCATGGCATAGCCAAATAGCATGTGATCTGCTGATCATGTTCGGACCAATCCCTGCGCACCAATGTGGAAGCTGACTGGAGGAAAGTATTTTTTCTCCTGAAGGGAAGCTTGTCAAGGGTGAGGGTTGCGACCGGCGCAGGCTTTCCACAAGAAGACGCTGGCCTTGGATGATTGGGCCGCTTTGGCAGCAAAGGCTCCGATTGGAGCAAGAGGCGTGCAGATATTGGTTTGGCTAATTGCTTGATTCATGAATTGATATGGGAGATGGGAGGCAGAATGGGGCAACATAGCTCACAGCATCCATCCACTTGGGAACGAATACCGCTCATCGCACGCCCAAGTACAAAACAAACTAGAACCACGGGTGGCCCGAGAGCATAATGGAAAGCAAGCGTTGGTTTCATGCATGTGTGTTTCCCTTTTTTCATGCGCAAGCGGCGGCTGCAGATGTCTATAGCTCGCCGCACAGACCACGTCAGCCGCTGCAAGCAGAAGACATCACGCGTCTAATTTGCGCGGCTGTGAGCCAGAACATCGCCGCGGGCTCTCTCCAACATGTTCATTGTTGACAGGGCGTAGTCGCGGCCTCTTCACGGCCGCAAGGAAGGTCTTGCTTGAAGAAGCTGAGCGACGGCGCCTAACGAGTGACGGTGTAGGAGCCGAAGATGAAGAACTGGCTTCCTGACATGGAAAGCATGGAATCCAGCAACGAAACCAACACCAAGATGAACACTTTTACCCGATGCATCCCCCCAATGAGCCCTCGCCAAGCCGCTACACCAGCGGGCACCAAGCGAGCCCGCAGTTTTGCAATCAGCTCGTCCTTGGCGAGCAAGCCACCAACTTCTTTTTGAGGCAAGCCCTCTCCGCATGCGAGTGCTTGCAGATCCTTCACGGTCAATCCAGACAACTCGTTCTGCAACCCGTCTGCTCCATGCTCGGCACAACCCTGGCGCACAACCCGGGCGCAAACGAGCAACTAACGGTGTAGGAGCTGAAGAGGTGTTCAAGCCTACACAACAGCTTCTGCGACGCCAGACTGCAAAAACATAGAGCCAAGCGCATGGAGCCAAGTGCATAGAGCCAAGTGCATAGAGCCAAGTGCATAGAGCCAAGTGCATAGAGCCAAGTGCATAGCTTCGGCGTTAGCAGCTATGTAAGTTAAGTTTAGCTTTCTGGGGCGGGTTTGCGACCCTCTGCGAGGATCGGCGTGGTCGAGGTGTAAAAACTCGAGGTTTTTTGCGATTTCTGATCTGCCCGCGCGACCCTCTGCGATGATCGTGCGTGTCAACTCGCTCTCGCTGTGGCGCCCTGCGAATTCGTTTTAGCCTCGGCAAACCCTCTGCGGAGATCGTGCGTGTCGAAGCGCTCTTGCTGTGGTGCCGTGCGTTATTATTACTCGCGAAACGGCCATTGGAAGTTGTCTCGTGGTTTGCTCACCTGCTTTCGCAATCGCGCGGTCGCGGGTTCGATTCCCCCCTGGTCCGCGGCAGCTCCAGCTGGAAAATCGCGGCGGTAAGTTCTCCTAACAATCCTAGCAAGTTCTCCGCGCAGTTGCGCATCTGAGCAAGTTGTTGGCGCCCGAACCCGTCGTTTCGCGAACAAAGGCTCGCCACCAGCAATTCCGGACCCCGCGAGCAAAGGGCCGTCGCCGCCCGAATCTGGCGAGTCGGAGCCTGCGCGTGTTCCTCTGAGCAAGTTCTCCAAGCAAGTTGTCTATGATAGTTGCGCTGAGCAAGTTGTTGGCGCGAGTTCCTTTGAGCAAGTTCTCCAAGCAAGCGTGAACGTCACGATGGCCTCACGCTGGCTACCTGGTCCTCTTGAAGTTGAACATGCGTGAAGAGCCATGCGGGGTTGCCAAAACTGATGACCCATTGGGGCACCCCTTCAAGGCGGACGCACGGGCAACACAAGTTCCAAGACATTTTGGGCCGCCGACATTTCTGCTGATGTTTGTTTTGAAAACGAGTTTGTTGAGCCAATGCAACGCGAGTTTTTTGGGGTGATGCTTGGAGAGGGAATTCTGGGGAGCTCCGGTCCAACACGCAGCTTTTGAGTGAGGAGTTCTTGCCGGGCACGCCCTGCGACGCCATTCGCTACCTTCTGAGTGGAGAGCAGCTTGCCAAAGTTGGCCATTTGCACTGGGATTTTACATCGTTCATCATGTTCACTGAGGACCCGGATTCAAAGCAGGTGAATTTTGCTTGGGCAATGTTGGGCACAACAGCTGATGCAGGTTTGGTCACGAGGGAGTTTGGCTAAGGCGTTGAAAAGGAATCGAACAGGAACAACTGAATATGAACTGTTTGTCACGAGCCTTGGGTTTTGCAAAAAATGAAAGTCATGTGACCCGATTGTGTGGTTTTCAGCTTGCAAGAAATTCTGGCAAGACATCCCAAGCCAGCGACATGCCTCGAATATGCACAAGACAAATTGGAAGTACAGTCCACCCATTGAAGGGGAACCGAGGTTTGAGCATGTTCAATATGTCAATGTGGATCCAATTTGGTTGCTTCAGCAAGGCTGAGCAACAGCAGAGTGACAGAATATGGAAACTTGGATGGCAGCATGAAGCACAAATAAGCAACATTTGCCGCGTTCACTCCATCTGCACAGGGCTTATGCATGATCTAATCAAAGGATTCAGGGTCGATTGAACAAGGGCACATTTATCATTTCAAAGACGAATACTTATTTGTGACCATCAGCGGCTATTGAAGATCATGTAGCAAGGATCATTTCATGGCTCCCCTCGCCAGTCAATATTGGACACGTGCCTTTGACACTGTGACTGTCTGCATGAGAGGCCTGTCGGAGAAGGCTAGCTTCCTGTGCCCAGAGTTATCGAGCGAGCCGCACTCGCACACGTCGCCCAAGGCTGCGATATGTGAAGGGAGCCGGGAGCACCCGAGAGGCGCTGCAGAAGGGTGTTCAATGATGTTGAATGCACGAGATTTTCATGGCAGATCTCCTGGGCGGCGGGTTAATCACTCTGGCACTATGGAATGCAATATTGAATGTGGAGTGAGGCCCATTTGGAGCGTTGTGAACAAAGATTGTGTCCGTCGAGCTTCGCCGAGTCAAGACTCCAAGTCTTGAACCAAGCAGGTGCCCTTGATGGGGCAAAGATGCTGAAACAGCTTCAAGAAGATGGTTGCCCCATGGTCGGAGCTTTTGTGCAAATCGGACTCTGCCAGGAGACCAGCGTCGAAGCAGGCGAGACTGGGAGCAATTTCCGTGAGCTTGGCGCGCGCAGTGTGGCTTTCTGAGAGCTCACTCAGGTGTTGGCATGTCGCTAAGGCTTAGCACTCAACGACTTGGCCCATATTCAGACGCCTCGAATCAGAGAAACGGATGTTCAACTGATCAACCATGTCAAGCACAGGCTTGCCTTCCAGCTCATTTTTTTGTCTGCAAGGCTGTATTTGAGTGTGTGTGTGTGTGTGCGTTGCAGCGCGGTGAGGTGGTGTTGTTGTGCGGTAGCTGATGTTGATGTGCTGCTGTGCTTTTGTGTTGGGGGTTTGATTTTGTTCTGGCGTGTTGGCTTGTGTGTGTGTGTCCGTGCTTGTGTTTGTGGTTATGCGTGCGTGTTGTGTTGGGCGGGGGCAGGTTGGGTCAGAGTCATTCGAGCAGTTATTTTTGAGGAGCTTCTTAGGAAATGGATCTGGGCCTGCGCTAGGTCAGCAGCGCTGGATTTCTGAAGCGGTCCTTTGGATCAGCGATTGGGCCGCTTTGATGCACCAGTCAATGGCTCGCAACCTATACGCCCTGATGCTTTCCCTTAAGCGGGATCTATGTATCGCTCAGCTGATCAATGGTTTCTGACAAAACCCCTAGTAACGCGCGTCATCGTGCCTTCATTGCTAGGCACCAGAGTGAAAACCTAACGAGCAACGTTGCGGCCTCCGAAGGCGCGCCCATGTAATTAGCTTGAAAGCCTGAGGAATATGTTGGAGAGATGTCGGCAGCCAGCGAGTCGAACCTGCTGATCATCAGTCCAAAGTGCATTCTGCGCCTTTGGCCATCAGTGGGAAGACCGACTCGAGGGCTTCCTTTCCGTAATGTGTTTTGAGTTTATCGATGTTTTTCAGACAGACTGCCATTCACAAGGGTTTCGAGACCATCACTTGACATAAGAGGGCAGGCACGCCAATGCGCGGGCGGGATGGACCGCCATTGCTGGAGGGTTGAGGGAGAGGGAGAGAGAGGAGAGAGAAGAGAGGAGCAAGGAGAGAGGAGAGAGGGAGAGAGAGAGACAGCGAGAGAGGGAGAGAGAGAAAGGAAGAGGAAGAGGAAGACGAAGACGAGGACGAGGACCAGGACCAGGACCAGGACGAGGACGAGGACGAGGGAGGGAGGGAGGGAGAGAGAGAGAGAGACACAGAGAGAGAAAGAGAGAGAGAGGGAGAGAGACAGGGAGAGAGAGAGAGACAGAGACAGAGAGAGGAGAGAGGGAGAGGGAGAGGGAGAGGGGGAGAGGGGGAGAGGGGGAGAGGGGGAGAGGGGGAGAGGGGAGAGGGGGAGAGGGGGAGAGGGGGAGAGGGAGAGAGGGAGAGAGGGAGAGAGAGGCCGAGAGAGAGAGAGAGAGAGGGGGAGGGACAGGGACAGGGACAGGGACAGGGACAGGGACAGGGACAGGGACAGGGACAGGGAGGAGGGACAGGGAGGAGGGAGGAGGGAGGAGGGAGGAGGGAGGAGGGAGGAGGGAGGAGGGAGGGAGACACAGGTGCGGGCAATCTTAGGCTCATGCCAATCCAAAATAGCATCAGCAGCTGAAGTGTGCACATGCAGCTTACGCAGCTAGCTGCGGGAACAATGTGCAAGCAAAGCCGAGGTTCATCAGGTGGCCCAAACGGGGGATTGGGGGAACCCCGCTTGTGAATGCTCGTTTAAAGGATTCCTCAAAGTATATAATTGTTGCAGCTGACTGGTTTCCCAGTGAGTGCGAGTTGCGGCAAGGCTGATTAATTATTTGCCATGGCTTCAGTTGTTAATTAACTCCCCGCAACCGAGCCAAGGAACTGGGTGGACAAGCAGCTTTGGCCGCAAGTTGGGGTGTCAAAGCCACTTAGCCCGACAATGTAACCGGTTGGCGCCTCCAGCCCTCAATGTGCCACAAGTGACGGCGTTGGTTACTTTGGGATGGCGCACTTACACGACAGGATCTTCAGGCCAGCATCGCAAACATTTCTCACAGAGCCGCACTGTTTGGAACTCGCCTGGCTTAGCTTGACTTTGGGCTTCTTGGATGTTCTTGGATCGCCAAAGCCATGGGTGCTTGGTTTGAATGAACCGGAGAATTTGATGACTGAAATTCAGGCTTGCCTGTGGGGGGCGGACATCAGCCCAACAAATGCAAACTGAACAAATTTACCCTCGGCGCTTGGCGATGAGGTACCCAGCCACGCACAAGCTCCTGAGAACCTATGCCAACGACTTTGTACTCTGGCTACGCGGTTTGTCTCCTGAGGACATGTCAGATGTGCTGGAGCCTATCATTGCGCATCTTGGCAGCTCTTGGGCCATTGGGCCCTTGGTTTGTCACAGGGGCATTGGCCGACCCCATCACAAAGGGCCTGTAAAGCCATTGCAGTGTGGATGTTGAAGACTCCCCAGACCAAGGCGACAGTCCCCTCTGAAGCCACCGCATCCCCTAGAATGATCAAACGCAGGCAGGGAGGTTACTCTTCCATGAGGAAACAAGCAAGTAAGTTCGCAGCAGCCGTTTCTTCATTTCTAAAACACATTCGGCTTTGCACTTGCGTGAGTACGAGGGGAGCTTGACTTGCTTAAGGTTTGCACAAGGCGAGTGCAAAGGATGATGGCATCGGCATTGCCTTCAAATGAAGCTTGTGGCGGGGTCGTGTCAAACACAAGGGGCGGTGAGGAGAAAGAAAGCAATACCTCCCACAAGGAATGTAGAAATGCACCAGACCTGGGCGGCGCGTCCGAGCATGGGATAGCGTCCATCGCTCCACAGCCCGCTGTGACGCTTCGAGCCGCCTCATTCCGTGTGCCCAAGGAATACCCTTCTCGGGCTGCAAGGACGTCGGAAGGCCTCTGCACTCTCTGCACCTTGGTAGTCTCGGCCGAGGGCCCGGGGGCCCCCGCCCCGGCAGACTGTTCAGCACCAGCAGTCGGGGCTGGGGTCTTGCGTTGATTGAAGCACATGGAGCGTAGCCCAGAAGTTGAATTTCCTCAAGGCACCGCACGGGGTAAACCATTTATTGTTGTTTTTCCACAAAACCCCCCAAACAAAGCAGGCCTGTTTGATTGCGTCCACGTTGCAACAGGCAGCCATGCGGCTGCCCAGGCTTCCAACATTCCCGCGTGGCAAGGGCAAATTTGCCCTCGCACAAGGAGAAAGTGGCAGTTGACTTTCTCTTGTAGACCAGCCAGCCCTGGTGCTAGTTTTCCTTTGGTGGCCCAGTCGGGTCCAATTCGGCTCAGTCCCCATTCGGATTGCCAGCCATGTAGCTTTCTAGACTCAACTATGCCAATACAGTTTCACCGCATGGGAAGGGTGCAGAAACAGTACATCATGCAAAACATGCTAAATGCACAAGCAGCCTTGAACTCTCAATCCTCCTAGCTGGCGCAACCCAGAGCCTTTCTGAACAACCCTGCTCCCTGCCTAAGAAGGAATCCTGCAGAATGTGTGTTGTGCAGGTGTGTGATTATGAACGTTTGCGTGCACTGTGCGTATTTCCAGGCGGCTTCAGTGAGCATATTCTGTGCCTGTTGGCCCTGAGATTGCACACAGGCCTCGCGTTAAGCTGTGAGAAGCATTGAAGCATTGCCTGAGTGTACGCGACAGCTCGGGGTCACTGCTCATTCGGAGCCAGTTCCACAGGCCGACCCCCCATCAACTTGGAGTGTGTCGCGCCTTAGTAGTTGCTGCGGAGCAGCCTCGCATGTTAACGACCGTTGAACTTCGTTCAGGGACATGATTGGTACTGACTGTGTGGACACAGGGCTTCAAACAATCTCTCTCTTTCTCTCTCTCTCTCTAGTCTATATCCTCATTAATATATATATATATATATATGTACGGAAAGTGCCCGCAAAGTACCACTCAGTCAGATTTTCACAGACTCTCACTTATCAAGTGGGACCGCAAAGCTCAGCCCACCTGCACCTGCACCGAAATTCGCCGTCAGAGGCAGGCAGTCGGCCCACGGCCCGCCCCAAGCGGCTGGCTGAACTTTGCCACCCAGGGTATATGAAAGCTGTTGAGTGGCTCCCCTCAAATCTGACCTTGATTCAATGCAGTGATTCCTTATTCTGTAAAAGGATGGTTTGCAAGTTCGCAACCTTGAAGCCCCTGGCCAAAGCCACGCCTTGCAGAGCCTTTGTCAACTTGACTGCTCAAAAAGGTGCTCGGTTTGAGGTTTGATTTCCCACTTGTGAACAGAGGCTTGGCTTGGAGCCAGGTCAAACCAAAAGACGACTGGACCACTTTCGATTGTTCATGATTTTGATGCTGGCTCAATGCCCTTGAATTTAGCAGCTCTCGGTTTGTTGCTGCCCCTTTCGACCACACAAGTAACCGGACGCCCTCTCCTCGCTGAGGCCGAAGCGCGCCACAGCCGGGGCCACTTGTATAATGGCAGTCTACTGGAAATCATCTTGTGGACACCAGGGTTCGGCAGCATTGCGTGAACAATCAACCCCTGGCTCACTGTGTGTGAAAGGGAAGCCAGAGGCGGGTTGTTCAAACAATAGCGGTTTAAACATGTTTTAACCAAGGGGATGGCCGAAACCTGGTAGGAAGAGCGTGGAGAACTGTTTTTGGGTCACTTGCTGCGGTACCAAGGGCATAGTCAGAGGGGTGGCCCACTCTGCGACTGCAGACAGGTTATTTCCAGCAAGCGGCTTGGTTTTGCATAGCAAGCAGCCTAGTAATCGTCCATTGCTGCTGGCTTTGGCTATGACTCTTGTTTGGGCCGGAAATTGCTGTTTGTTCAGCTGCGGGGAACGTGTTTTGCATGTTCCGCTTTGGCTTCCTGCCAAAACGCTGAAGTTGGGCAAAACAGGCCTGTTCTGGTTGTTGAGTGTCTACATGCCCTGGGTTGAAGCTGGATACCTGGTCACCACCCCTTCTCAGATATTTACTTGACATGAGGATATCTTGCACGGGGCTTGCGACCACCCCCTTTACAAGGAATGTTCAAAGGCAAGATTCGAGTGGCCCTGGCGATTTCAACTCCAAACGCCGCATATTCCGGGCTTGGGAAGCTTTCCTGTGGGACAAGTGTTACATGTGCGGGTTGTTTGTGTGTGTGTGTGTGTGTGATTATGTATTGTGTTTGTGTTTTGCTCATGTGATTGTTTGTTTGTTTGTTTCTTTATTATTTGTTTGTGTGTTTATTAGTTTTTTGTTTTTTGTTTTTAATGTGCGTGTGCGTGTGCATGCTGTTGGGTGGGTGTGTGGGTGGTGTGCGTGTTTGTGTTTGTGCGTGTGTGTTTACGCATGTGTGGTTGTCTCTTTGCGCGCTCCTGGGTGTGTGTGTGTGTGTGTTTGTCAATGTCGGCTCTCCTTGGAAGGGGTCAGGATGTTGAACCATGAAGGCACCATTGGCGTGTGGCCACTCAGGCTTCCAGACAAAGACTTCCTTCTGGAAGCCAGGAGCCGGCACAGTTTGCTCATGGATTTGCAGGGGAGCATCCTACGATTCCATGTGGCATGCTTCGTCTTTCGTGAGGAGGCCGGAAAAGCTGAAGCAGCTTAGGCCTTAGCAATCAATGGGCTAGTTGACCGAAAGGTTGGGCCAAGTGTGTTTAAACACACCCTTTCCTAGCTAAAAGGACAGGGGCTGGCCCAACCCTGGCTGACCGTTTGCAGACGTGGGCAATACATCAAAAACGGCAAGCCAGTTGTTTCGCATGCCGAAGTTGCTCAGTCAACTGCAGAGTGTGGGTGTGGATGTTTGCGTTTGCGTTTGCGTTTGCGTGTTTGTGTGATTGTGTTGATTGTGTTGTTTGGTTGCTTGTTTGGTTTGTGTGTTTTGCTTTGCTTGCTTGCTTGCTTGCTTGTTTGTTTGTTTGTTTGTTTGTTTGTTTGTTTGTTTGTTTGGCACTGTGTGTTCGTGTGCTGTTGTCATGAGACGTCACAGCAAATGTCGTGACTACTTTTGGGGTCGTGCATGCAGTCGCGGAGGTCGATAGTGAACAGAGATGTTCAGAGCCCACTCCTCATTCAAGCAGTACGACTTTATGATCAATCAAACTACCAAACTCCACAACCAAAGGACCATCAGCTAGCCTTGGGCTTTCTGCCAAAGTTTGCGTAGTCAGAATGTGGATGAACCGGAGTGTAAACCGGTTGCCAATTATGAACCCAACCCCAAATATCGAGTGGTGTGCTGGGCAGGCATCCAGGGGCACAAAACGGGCTTTACAAATGCGACGCCGAAGGGAGAGGAGGGAAAAACCATTCGGGAGAAGCACAAAGAGAAGTGCTGATCTGAGGTTCCGGCTCCTGCTTCGTGTGGAGCTTGACAACTGGGAGGCCAGGAAAATCAATGACGGACCCTGGAGTTGGGACGGGTTCGATTCGGAGGTTTTTGCAGGTTGGAAGGAAGTGACGCCACAAATTTGCAGGGGACCCCCTGCCCAACGCACTCGCAGGTATGCGGGGTTGGTTCTGAACAACTTCGGCCCTGCAAATTCCCAAGAAAGCCTTGTGTGAGCAGCAGCGTTGAAGCAGAAAAGGGAGAAGTCCAAAAATGGCAAGTTGAGTGCAAATGGCAAGAGTGCAAATGGCAAAATGAGGGCAAGGGTGCAGAATGAGGGTCAATCGTGTTTGCCTGCGACGTTGGAAGCTCAGGGGGATGTCTGTGTGTGCACAACAGTTTCGCCATACTGCACACAATGGATCCGATCCCCATACGCGCGCTTGATTTGGAGTCTCATGCCCTTTTGGGCAGTTGAAGGTGAACACCTAGCGAGATGTTGTACAAGTTCAGTGCAAATCTCTCTTGAGGGATGTGCCGCGGCTGGGGCATGGCACACAAGCTTGATGCATGGCTTCATATTCTTAGGTGCGTTGTGAGGTTGTGTGACCTGGCAGCGGTGAAGTCTGATCTGGGGCTCACACAAGCTGAGCAGCATGCATTGCTGAGCTTCTTGAAGTATTCATAGTAGAGGTAAGGGCCATTTAAACCCACGACATTCTCAGATGACTGGCCCATCCTGAAATCGGCGGCCTTTTGTGCATCTTGCAGTGGGCCCTATCCAACAGTCAGAAGCTCATGATTGCTCCACCGGCAGGTGGAGCTTGCGGATGCGACGCCTGTCAGGGGCCCAAGGTTCGGGCATAGAACTATGAAAGCAATGTGCACATGTACATGCAAGTGTGCCCATGACGTAAAGCTCTCCTAGACAAAGATGTGACATGTGCATTTGTCCATCAGAAGTTATGTTTCCGTGCCAGTATGCCGCTTGATGCGTGAAGGAACTGGCACGTGTGTTTGTTTCAGCGCCCCAGCTGCTGCACCCGGAGGTAACGCGAGAGAGAGAGAGAGAGAGATAGAGAGATCAAGCTAGCAATTTGTCAGCTGGATATATGCACCCCAATCATGGAAGTGAACAGGAGGCTCCTCCTAAACGAAAGTAGTCTTTCACACCTTTTCTGAAAAATATCAAGCCGCCTTAAGGACCGCGTGCGGTCCTTTGGAGTCAGACTGATAGAAACCAGCTGCAGGAATTTCTGCAGGACAATTAGCAACACACCAAACAAAAACACGGATTTCCTGTAGAATTTCGTGTAGGTTTCTCAAACAGTCTCACTCAGGTCGTTCGCAGCCACGCATCCTTTGTCTCGCCGGCTCTGCAACTGCTGCTGCAGCGGATGCCTCAGAAGCACTGGGTTCTGAGGGATGAGTGTTATCTTTAATGTACCCGTTTCAGATTGGTTTAAAGGCAAACACCCAAAGGAACAGTATTTTTTTGGGGGGGTGCCCGAGTTTTAAAGACACTCAACTGCTTGAGCAGGCGTTGCAAGGTTGGTGGACATAAATCCCCATTTAAACGAAAGAATTGAGATTTATACCCATGTCAATCATTTGGACCAAATGCATCCAAACAAGACATGTGAATGGCTTCTTCATCGGATGGATGGTTGGGTGGGTGGATGGAGGGACTGGGCGTGCGGTGCGGCCTTATACGTAGTCCCTAGTCACCCACGCCTGCTACACTTGAATGCCATTGCATTGAG